CAGTTTCACACCTTGGCTCAGGCAATTAGAGGATCACCAGGGGGTCCTTTTGTCCCTCTGTGGGGGGTTACTCCCACTAGGTTTAAATCTGGGACTCTCCACCATTTGACCTTAGAACTGAAGAAGCTTCTCGGATGAGAGGTGAAACGTCTTCAAGCAACTTAAAGAAGTCCAGAAGCTTTGGCCCACTTAATTTCCTCTTTATAGCGTTGCCTTGAGTATATTGAGTTGCCGGTTCATTTGTTTATGCACAATCCTCTTAAGAGCCCAACACAGCATTTAAGTCAGGTAAAGATCTAACTAAGGACTTTGACTGGACCACTGGGACTCTTCAATTTGTATTTTTTTTAATTTTTTTTATTTCTGAGATTCTGTTGAAGATTTGCGTCTGTGCTTTGGATTATTGTCTTGTTGTAGGACCCAGTTTGGCCAAGCTTTAACTGTCAGACAGATGGCCTCACATTTGACTCTAGACCAGCGGTCCCCAACCTTTTTTGTGCCACCGACCGGTTTATGCCCGACAATAATTTTACGGACCGGCCTTTAATTAAGGTGTCGCGGATAAATACAACAAAATACAACTAGTACCGGTACCGAAAAAAGAAGATTTATTAATAACACACGTGAAAAGACCCAGGAAAACAGAGTTAACGATAAAAACGATAACAAAATAACGCTGAAAACCGATAAAAACCCTGAAAACCATACATTTCACACCTGAGCCTCAACTACTTACCAAACGACTCACGGACCGGTACCGGTCTGAGGCCCGGGGGTTGGGGACCGCTGCTCTAGACTACGTTGGTATACAGAGGTATTCATGGTGGAATCCATGACTGCAAGGTGCCCAGGTCCTGTGGCTTCAAAACAAGCCCAAATCATCACCCCTTCACCACAGTACTTGACAGTTGGTATGAGTTGTTTGTGCTCATATGCTGTGTTTGATTTTCACTAAATGTGGTGCTGTGCATTATGAGCAAACATCTCCACTTTGCTTTCATCTCTTCAGATGCAAGTTTGCGATCCAAAGCAAAGCTTTCCGAGAGCAGCTCTCTTCTGGCAACCCTTCCAAACAGTCTTTTTTTTTTTTTTAATTGTTGGTCATGTCTGCCCCTCCCTTCTTGCTCTGCCAGAAGTTTCTTCCTATTAAAAGGGTTTTTTTTTCCTTATCACTGTCACCATGTACTTGCTCATGGGGGGGATCTGATTGTTGGGTTTTGCTGTATTGTTATAGGGTCTGTGGTTTACTAACATAAAGTGACTTCCGACTGCTGTTATGATTTGGCACAGTATATTAATAAAACTGAATAGAATTAATTATATTATTCTGAGATGTAGCTTGCTTTTGTATTTTCTCTGAGCGTTGCCTGATCTTACCCTGGGGTGAATTTGTTAGGACGTCCACTCCTGAGAAGATTGTGGGATTGAACACACTTGAATGCTCCAGACCGGCAAACTGCCAAAACTACTTTTCTAGAGATCATCACACTTTCTGATGATCAGTTAATGAAATGCATTTGATTAGCACCACTTGGCTGCTACGTATTCTTTTGATAATAATACATTTTATTTATAGGCGCCTTTCAGACCCTCAAGGTCACCTTACAGTAACACGTAAACAATACCATAAAAAACATAAGAAAAATGGTAGATAAAATTTAGACATAAACAGTCATAAAAGTATAAAGTATGCAAGCAGTAAGGGTGTGCTTACTTTTTCCACAGGACTGCATGTGGACAGGACAGTGTGTTCTTTTTCCAATGTCTGTACACGATTAGGAAAACTAATGGTATTGTTTGCTCTTAAAATATGTTAATCATTGAAATAAACTCAAAATGGCAGAACACGTATAGATTTGATGTTCCAGTCACTATTTCATGACTCCTTGTGCTGCCACTTACCAGTGAAGAGTGATGTAAAGTTAAACAAGTTGTGGTGAAGAAGAAGAAACTCACAGGGGTAAAATGCAGACCACAGGTGAAAGCTTATGCTTATCTTTGGTTACACAGATAATTTTCCTTCATTGTATCAAGTAACATAGAATCTCTGTATCCTAATGCCTGGTATTATCGCATCAACATATCGATAGTACGCTTGTCTGAGAAGTGCCTTAATTCCCGTCTGTACATACAACATTGTGATGTCCTTCCTGACTTCAGTGGGGATGTCATTGAGTTACGTGCAGGTTGCTGTTCTTGCGTTAGTAACTCAGGAGGCTGTGTGATGGACAAAAATGTAAAGCTTCACGTAAGTTGTATCAGCACTTCCCTGACACTTTGTCAACATAAAAAGACATCCAGAGGTTTAAAAGATAAGCTTGTTTTTGCCTCGAGATGATGCTTTGTTTGCTCCATGTTGTAATTTGTTGGTTTGTCCACTACTTACACATAGGAACATACTCGTTTGCACAACTTCTTCCTACATATGTACACAGACCTACTCAGGTCAGACCCACCTTCAGTACACAATAATAATCACTGAGGGATAACAGAATTTAATAAAAGGTGTGTCAGTCGGAGTGGAAATAGCCCAGAGGATATCGAAATAAAATATAGAATTAGATCCTATCAGTTCTTGCACAAATACTGTCAGTTGTTGGCATGTGTGTACATATGTGTACATGAATTTGTGTGTGCTCTTGCTAATCTAAAACATATTAGTTCTCAAGTCTTTTTATCAAGATCAGCACACACTTTGAGGGTGTGTTCATCCGCACAT